AAAATAAACTCAAAAGGATACATACTGTAGGCTAGATGCATGTTGTGCACTGGGGGTTAAAAGAACAATAAAATGTCGCATCATTCTCGTCTGAACAACTTCACAACATTTTAAAAACAAAATTGATTGCGTATTCAACATTTAAAGAAACACACAAAAATCAAACACTTGAAGGCAGCTCGTTGTATCTCAACGTACAGTTTTCTTTTATTCTTGCAGTGGCATGTATTTATAATTTCCTATGCAACAGTAGTAACAGCTGCAGGGTTCCTTACCTTGACGGACATCCTGTTGCCTCTCTTTATGCTGCTGTCTTCTGTAACTTTACTGGGCTCTAAAATGAAAATAAACTATAGATCATACTTTTATTAAAAACGCCCCTGTCGAAAAAAAGGCTTGCATCTATGAAGGTTGATATGTTGCAAAATAGGAGAGCTTGTAGAATGTGATGTGAGAACTTGAAGGAGAAAAAAGGTGAACTCGTATGTAAAAATTTACTGTATAATAAATCCACTACTTTTGCTGCAGAAGAAACGATATAATTCGCAAGGGATTGTGGGATAGGTAGTCCCTTGACTCAGGACAAAAATGATGTACACAGTCTTGTATCTTTGCCTTTCTCTTCTTAAAAGTAACTTGAGTCGTTATAGTGTTTATACTGTTAATGCAAGTGTTGCACTGTCTTGCAGTTTGTGGTTGTGGTGAATACATAAAGTGCATCAACTGGAAATTAACTTCTCATTGGCCAATTCCCCCCACACGCAGACACAGCGAGGGGGAAGGGGGGGAGGGCATTTCTACAAGTACAAATTTATTTTGCTACAGACGTCTCACAAAATGTGTTGCAAAACTCAAGCAGCGCAGATTCGCGCGAGAAAAGTAGTGGATTTTTTTTATCCAAGTAAACATTTTTACATACAAAGTTCACTTTTTTTTCCTTCAAGTTCTCACATCACATTCTACAAGCTCTCCTATTTTGCAACATATCAACATTCATATGCAGCCGCCTGATTTACTGTCACTGGTCCTTCTCTCATAACTTTCTGCAGCTCTTGCACATTTTCACTGAGGGGAATGGTCTGTCCTAATTCCCTAATCACACTCCTCTCACCAACAACCCACTCCAATAATCTCCGTTTTTACCGATGGACCAAACTCAGTCTGGAAATAATGGTTTCGTTTTCTGAGTCTCGAGAAAAGTATAATTCAAATCATGTAAGTGTTAAACGGGCAAACGGAGAAGACTCCCCTCCCGGTCCGTTATCTCCTCACTCACTCTCCCATACGCAAAAAAACCTCTTTACTCCTCAACACCGACTGACTTTTAGAATTCTGATCTTAATCTCAAACTTCTTAAATTAAAGTCTGAATTCTGAGGAGAAAAAGTCCAAATAAAAAAATAAAAATGACAAAAAAGTCAACCACCACCCCACCAAAAAAACAAAACAAAAGTCAGTGGCCCTAATCCTCTTTCGTTCGTTTTGATCTAAAGGCTTGTACTTAAATGCTTGACATGTGTTTCTTAATAAATAGAAGTTCATGCCTGTGTATGTATGCATTTCTTTTCTAAACAAAAATGAAATGAAATGTTTTTAATGCGTATTCAACATTTAGAGAAACACACAAAAATCAAACACTTGAAGGCAGCTCGTTGTATCTCAACGTACAGTTTTCTTTTATTCTTGCGATGGCATGTATTTATAATTTCCTATGCAACAGTAGTAACAGATGCAGGGTTCCTTACCTTGACGCGGAAGTCCTGTTGCCTCTCTTTATGCTGCTGTCTTCTGTAACTTTACTGGGCTCTCTTCATTTTATCTGCGTGGCTAAAATGAAAATAGAGACTAGAGATCACACTTTATATTGAAAAGCTCCGTAGAAAAAAACTTCACATGACACCCCTGTGTTTGGTTTCGCTTCCATCTCTCCATGTCACGAGATGGAGTCACACCCACGTAGGCCTACATTCATAAGTGTCTTTCTTTTGTTGTGTACTGGGATGATCGTAAGTGTACCTGGTACCGTAACAACTCAGATTAAAGATCGATGATGGACTGTGTAGTTATATCTTCACATCTCGACACTCCAGTGAAGAGAGGAGCCAGAGCTGTCAGCAGCTGATTCCCACCTGACAGACCTGGTAAACCTAAACGTGTCCTAAATCCACTTTGGTAATCCTTTAAAAGTCCCTTACTCTCTACATTAGATTTGAATCATTCATGTATCATTGTTTTCATAGTTCTTCCCTACACAAGATGTCAATACAATTGGTTTATGACTTTCTGCTGAACTTGAATCATTGCCTGGTTTGCATTTGGGGACAATTCATGACTCTTTCCAATGGGAGGGTAAACATCCCTCTTCCCATATCTTATTATTTTAAATAAATGTAAATATTTATTTGCCCTTATCACTTGATTTGATTAACAAACAGTCACTGACCTGATGTCTTCCATGGTGATGTTTTTCTATATTTATTCAAAGCTTGATACAGTTCTGTTAAATAAAGTCAACAACATATTGAATCATCATCCCTCTCATCCTGCAAAGCTTCTACATTTCTTTATATTGTTTTCCTCTCTTTCACTCCTTTCCTCATTACTCAAACTTTCGTGACTATGGAATTTAACAAATGTCCTTGCCAATAATTCTGCCTTTTCCTAAATGTATAGGCTATAACTACACTGTAATTGATCTGGATCTTCTCCCATGTTAAGTCTTTCATATCTCCACATCCTCTTCCTCCGCAGTAACAACATTTAATAGTAGGCCGACTGTTAAAAAAAAAAGTCAGTGGTCCTAATCCTCTTTCATACATTTTGATCTAAAGGCTTGTGCTTAAAAGCTTGACATGTGTTTCTTAATAAATAGAAATAGTGAAGTTGATGCCTCCATATGTATGCATTTCTTTTCTAAACAAAAATTAAATTAAATGTTTTTTAGTTCTATTGTTTTTATTTATTGTTTTATAGTTTTTGTATTATTCTAAAATGTGGAAAATAGTTAGAATAAAGAAAACCCCTTCCATTAGTATGTGTTCCCTAGAGACAGCTTACAGTAGTTATATTATCATAATATAGTGTTCTGTATTATTGATAATAATATATTACTATTATGGCCAAACTTTTGACTGGTAGTGTATATATATGAATAAAGGAAGAACAAAATGATGTGGAGTTCTAAGGATTCTTTTTTATTCAAAAATTAGGTTTACAAAAACATGAAATGGTTATATGATCACAGGATATCAATTATGAGTATAACTTCACCTTTAATGAGCCCACACATTTAAGCGCTAAGGGCCCATTTATTCAAGTTCCCTTTGGAGAGACAATTCAACTGTATTGATTTCTCCTACAGATAACTGTTTCAAATTCAATTTGAAAATGAATCTGGCTCAGCGAAAGGTTAAAAAAAATCCAACATTCACGAGAAGAAAAGTGGCATGGAAAGTTGCTTAATGTCATAATAATTACATACATTTTTAATTTTAACAGTGTTTGATCCTGAACAGTAATCTTTAAGCAAAGTGCAATTATCATTTCTTTGTTGGATCATACATTAAGTTGATATCAAATCTTATTGCTCAAGTTGCTAAAAAAAAAAAAAGGCCAATCATCCCTGAAGACTACTGTATTACACAATTTTTCCTTCTTTTTCCATGTTTTCATTCTCTTCATCAGGGGGAATTTCCATTTCCGTTTGTTTTTGTTTCTTCGTCTCCATCTTCAGCTCACTCTCCAACTCTGGATAAAATGGCGTTTCCAGGATAGCTTTGTTTTTCTCTGATTTCTGCAGACCTTCTATCAGGGAGTCGTGGATTTTCTGCCAGGCGTCGATCTCTGAGCGCCACAGTGCCGCTCTGGCTCTGATGAACTGTGAGGCCTTGGTCTCGCTGCCTTTGGACAGACTGATGCTGTCTTTACAGATGAAGAAGACATCCATGCCGAGAAAAAGAGCATTCAGCCCGATGAGACCGGCTCTGGCGGACTTGGTGAGGGCCAGAGGCCCTTTGATTGCTGCCTGTCCGATATCTGGGATGTCTGCGGCCACCTTTGGCACGTTCTGTAAAACTTGACCACCTTTGATAAGCACCTTGCCCACTCCCAAGACTACATCTATCTGACTTGCTTCCATTCTGGCGTTAGTTTGATCGCTGACTTTCTTCAGACAATCCTGAAGACTCTGCAAATCCTTCATGAACCCCTCGAAGACCTCAGTGGCTTTCTTTTGTTGTGTACTGTTTACTCCTAACTCTGTCGCCGTAGTGACAAGGCCATTGACCCCGCTGGTGACACTAAGCCCTATCCCAGTCATGGTAAGACCCAGAGACAGTCCAGCTGTTACAGGAGCCAATAATAAACCAATGATGGAAAGCACGCCTCCAACCGCCCCCACTGAGCTGCCCACCACACTGGAGATCTTTGCCCCCTTATTCATGGAGTCGAACTGAACAGCAATCTCCTCCAGTCCATCTAGAGACTGCAGCAGGCGAGGTTGACAATCTCTGAACTTGTCGAGGAAACCAGAGCAGTCATGAAACAAGTACACCAAAGAGAAGTGCTGGTTCATTCTGATGAAGAGGAAAAAGAGGAAATTAATAAAAGGATATTTAACAAAATAATTCACAACTGTAACTGAGGTCCTCCCTCCTTGAACTCTTTAAAGCTCCTGTGAAGAGTTTTTAGGGCGCGGTCACACTGGCATTCTGTACCGTGCCCAAGCACGCTTCACCTCTAAAGTCCAGTTTGTTTGACCAGTGTGACCGCTCCATGCCGTGCTCAAGCACGGTGCACTTACTTGGCCATGGCACGCTTCGGAGAGGTGTGCTTCGTCACGGTACAGTTCATGCACGATCATAAGCAACGCTAACAGCAAAATATCACAACGGCAATATATCGTCAAACTGAAGCGAGGGGTACAGTTATCTAACTGAAGGTGCACAATGTCGATATTCAAATGTTTTAATTAAGGAGCTTTAAATAAAGACGACTTCATTACTCATCATGGTGGTATTTAAGACATAAATAAGGGAACATGAACAGTTTAGCTGACCAAAGAAGTTGACAGTGGGCTACAACAGCGTTGAAAAGATGAAGCCTGATATGAGGTTAACGTAACACCAAACTGCAGTGAATAAATACATTAATCCTGCATTTTACCTTTGAAGGCTCATTTTGTCATCTCCAATTAGTTAGATATCATCATGGATAATTTTATGATTTTCTTACAATTTATCAATTATTGCAGAATCGCTGTGTCATGATATCAACGTTATCTTGGGCCACCTATTGTGTATCCTGAGTATACCCTGACTGTATTACTTAAAATGACCAGAATGCATACATATGGAATGATGCTGCTAACCTGATGTCATCCAGTTGATTGATGTGATAGAGCATCCTCTCCATGTCGTCTTCTGATAAATCCAAATCCAGGTCTACTGCAGATTTCTTGATCATGTTCAGGTCGAAGTCACTGGAAGTGCTTTTAAAGACACAGTTATATTTACTCACTGAAACCGACTTCTATTTAGAAATAAATTAAGATTTTCTTTTAAGGAATGACGGTTTACCTTTTCTCCAACAGTCCACAGATCCTCTGGGTGGTCTGAATGTATTTGTCCAGCTGATACGCCAGCACTTCCACATTCTGCAGTTTGGGCTGGAAGAAGACCATTTCATCTCTTTTAAACTCAACGAGCAGAGGGCAGACCAGCCGTGCGGCAGCGATCACAACCTGAACATGATCGAGGCCGACCCCCTCTGGCAGGTGCAACACCACCTGCCTCCCCTCCATGAACACATGAAGTGAGGTGACTGCCAGCTTCTCTACCGCATCCAGGAAACAGTGGAGCTCCTCCAGTTCCATCAGAGTGTCCTTCAGCACAGCAGCCAGCTCCTTCTCCAGCTCTTCCTCCCTGCTCTTTGCGGTCACCTGGCTGATGTTTATGTCCATCATCATGTTTAACTCTGACTCCCTCTTTAGCATCCATTCAGGGGCCCTCTCACAGAATCCTCTCACCGTGTGGATGTGGATGAGGGTGTCTGCAGTGTAGCGCAACAAGGCCTTCTGGAGCTCCTTTCTGTATGAAAAGGGAAACCAATCAACCCAGTGTTGTCTAGTTTTTTTTCCATGCATAACTTTTCTCAGGGCTTTTGTTTCTGTTTTAATTGAAGTTGCACAATATGTCCACCAGATGTCACCAAAGCGCATAAAAAAGTCACAGTGACAAAACTGTTCTCGCTGTTAAATGGGTTCAAAGTTTCAGAAGACATTATTCATGCTCTAATAAGGCAGCATTTGGGATATTGTAAAGCTATCAGTTGATTCAATTAAATCAGAAATAAACCCCCAAGTTTATTTACATTAAGTTACATAATTAAAAGCTGAAATTTAGGACATGGTCTCCCACTGTTTGTCGTCCTGAATAGTAACCTACAACATAAATTAGGACCTTTAAGTCAGTGTGAAAAACAAACTCAAAAGGATCACGTACTGTAGGCTAGATGCATGTTGTGCACTGGGGGTTAAAAAAACAATAAAATGTCGCATCATTCTCGTCTGAACAACTTCACAACATTTTAAAAACAAAATTGATTGCGTATTCAACATTTAAAGAAACACACAAAAATCAAACACTTGAAGGCAGCTCGTTGTATCTCAACGTACAGTTTTCTTTTATGCTTGCGATGGCATGTATTTATAATTTCCTATGCAACAGTAGAAACAGCTGCAGGGTTCCTTACCTTGACGGGGACATCCTGTTGCCTCTCTTTATGCTGCTGTCTTCTGTAACTTTACTGGGCTCTAAAATGAAAATAGAAACTATAGAGATCACACTTTTTATTGAAAAGCTCCGTAGAAAAAAACTTCACCTGACGCCCCTGTGTTTGGTTTCGTTTTCCTTTCTCCACGTCACGAGCTGGAGTCACACCCACGTATGCCTACATACCTGAGTGTTTGTTCATAGCTCGATGGTCCAGTAAGTTCAGTTTTCATCATTCATGTATCATTGTTTTCATAGTTCTTCCCTACAGAAGATGTCAATACAAATGGTTTATGACTTTCTGCTGAACTTGAATCGTTGCCTGGTTTGCATTTGGGGACAATTAATGACTCTTTCCACTGGGAGGGTAAACATCCCTCTTCCCTATTGTATCATGTAAATAATATTTATTTGCCCTTATCACTTGATTTGTTTAGCAAACAGTCACTGACCTGGTCTCCCATGTTGTCCACATTTGTGTTTCCCTTTACAAGCAATGGCTGTGGGCTATGTCCATATAGGCCAGGGGTGGCCAACCAGTCAGAGACTAAGAGCCACATTTTTTGCTGTCAATTATCATTTCTTTGTTGGATCATACATTAAGTTGATATCAAATCTTAGTGCTCAAGTTGCTAAAAAAAAAAAAAAAGGCCAATCATACCTGAAGACTACTGTATTACACAATTTTCCCTTCTTTTTCCATGTTTTCCTTCTCTTCATCAGGGGGAATTTCCATTTCCGTTTGTTTTTGTTTCTTCATCTCCATCTTCAGCTCCCTCTCCAACTCCGGATGAAATGGCGTTTCCAGGATAGCTTTGTTTTTCTCTGATTTCTGCAGACCTTCTGTCAGGGAGTCGTAGATTTTCTGCCAGGCGTCGACCTCTGAGCGCCACAGCGCCGCTGTGGCTCTGATGAACTGTGAGGCCTCGGTCTCGCTGCCTTTGGACAGACTGATGCTGTCTTTACAGATGTAGAAGACATCCATGCCGATAAAAAAGCATTCAGCCCGATGAAACCGGCTCTGGCGGACTTGGTGAGGGCAAGAGGCCCTTTGATTGCTGCCTGTCCGATATCTGGGATGTCTGCGGCCACCTTTGGCACGTTCCGTAAAGCTTGACCTTCCTCAGCCAACACCTTACCAGCGCTGACAACCAGCTCCTCATTTTTTAACATGTCAAAAGCAGAGGCAGCATCAACAAGTGCATCAACACCTCTTGCAATGACAACACCTTTGATAAGCACCTTGCTCATTCCCAAGACTACATCTACCTGACTTGCTTCCATTCTGGCGACAGTTTGATCGCTGACTTTCTTCAGACAATCCTGGAGACTCTGCAAATCCTTCATGAACCCCTTGAAGACCTCAGCGGCTTTATTTCGTTGTGTAGTGTTTACTCCTAACTCTGTCGCCATAGTGACAAGGCCATTGACCCCGCTGGTGACACTAAGCCCTATCCCACTCATGGTAAGAGCCAGAGACACTCCAGCTGTTACAGGAATCAATGCTAAACCAATGATGGAAAGCACGCCTCCAACCGCCCCCACTGAGCTGCCCACCACACTGGAGATCTTTGCCCCCTTATTCATGGAGTCGAGCTGAACAGCAATCTCCTCCAGTCCATCTAGAGACTGCAGCAGGCGAGGTTGACAATCTCTGAACTCGTCGAGGAAGCCAGAGCAGTCATGAAACAAGTACACCAAAGAGAAGTGCTGGTTCATTCTGATGAAGAGAGAAAACAGGAAATGAATAAAAGGATATTTAACATAATAATTCACAACTGTAACGGAGGTCCTAACTCCTTGAACTCTTTAAAGCTCCTGTGAAGAGTTTTTAGGGCGCGGTCACACTGGCATTCTGTACCGTGCCCAAGCACGCTTCACCTCTAAAGTCCAGTTTGTTTGACCAGTGTGACCGCTCCATGCCGTGCTCAACCATGGCACGCTTTGGAGAGGTGTGCTTCGACACGGTACAGTTCATGCACAATCATAAGCACGGGGGTAAACAACGTTAACAGCAAAATATCACAACGGCAATTGTTAGTACGTATTTTCATGGATTCAATCATCTTGATAATTTTGTGGACATATCTTGAAATTGTGTCAACCATCTCACAGTAATTCTACTTTTGGGTCTGTGAAGCGTTAACCTTATATGGGTGAAGCACCTAAGTAGTAGCAGCTCTATAAATGGATAGGAGCTAGGGCTGAACGATTTATTGTTTTCTGATCGAAATTGCGATTTCAGACAACGCGATCATGTAATCGCCAAAGCTGCGTTTTTTTGCAGTGCTCCTGACTGACCCAGGATCTGTTGTGTCAACTATTTTACACATACATGCCGTCTCCCTACCATCCTGCCAAGCTCACCAATCAGAAGCGGCATGCTGCTCGTGGACAGGTCACGCTAACCAATCAGTATAGCCTGCTCCACCTGCTCTTTAATTTCTGAAATGGCTTCAGCTGGACCAGAAGCGGAGTTTGGGGATTTAATCACCAAGAAAAACAGTACGTCCATCATTTGGGAGTATTTCGGGTTTAAGGCTGCAGACGTGCACCAGAAACAGGTACTGTGCAAAACCTGTCGCGCTAAAGTTGCAACAACAACAAAAAAAAAAAGATATTCGCTATTTTTGCTATAATGTTTAATGCTATATTGTTTACAGAATAGATGTGCAATATTTGGGTGCTGCTCAGCTAAGCCATAAATGAATGACCGACCTATTTTAATGTCTGACATATTTTTCAGAAGGTAAGAGGTCATTTTATTTTAGTAAGAGTTTTATCTTATTACCATTACTTTTCAGTTTCACTTACTGTAAAAAGATAGTCCAAGTCCAGGTTTCTTAATATAGGGTTAAATAAAGTACTGCTGCTATAGATGTTGACAAGCTAGCTCCCTTGAGCCATAAAAGACTGACCTTGACCTATACCTACTTGAGTGTAAGGCTGTTGGGCAAGATCATTTGGTAATTGTTGAATTTTGTTTTTCTTATCATTACTTATTGTTTTGTATTTTATTTAACTTTTTTAACTTAACACAATTAAGGATTTTTTGCACTACTTTAAATTAAGACAGTCAAAGATGGCTCTTTTAGTTCTTCAGTTGTAATAACTGCCATTGGTCAAGGACTTTATAGAATGTACATGCATGTTTCTTGTTAATAAATACATTTGAAATCAATTCTTAACTTTAGTTTTCATTCTTGCATTAGAGTAATGGCATTTAATGTTTTAATGGTATGACGTAATTTTCTGTCATGTTTGTAAATGTTACTGTACATTGTGAATATGGCACTGAAGCTTGATTTGAAGAAAATCGTGAATCAAATCGAAATAGCAATATCTGCCAGAAAAATCACAATTAGATCTTTTCCTAAAATCGTTCAGCCTTAATAGGAGCTGTACCTTCTAGCAGAATATAAGCCACACTGTGTGATGAAGACTTTGCCATTTTGCCATTTTGCCCATGATGGCCACTTTGCCAATGATTGTCAACGATTGTGAGATCTTGGTCAGCATGGGTCAGCGATGGTCTGCACTTTGTCAGCCAAGTGTGTTGTGTTTCTGTGTTGTCTGACCATGGCTGAATAAATCTAAGATGATCCACAGTCTGTTTCACGATTTCATAATTGTCCATCTCATACAGAAATAACCCCCACCTAACAGCAATATACTGTCAAACTGAAGCGAGGGGTACAGTTATCTAACTGAAGGTGCAGAGTGTCGATATTAAAATGTTTTAATTAAGGAGCTTTAAATAAAGACGACTTCATTACTCATCATGGTGGTATTTAAGACATAAATAAGGGAACATGAACAATTTAGCTGACCAAAGAAGTTGACAGTGGGCTACAACAGCGTTGAAAAGATGAAGCCTGATATGAGGCGAACGTAACACCAAATGGCAGTGAATAAATACATTAATCCTGCATTTTACCTTTGAAGGCTCATTTTGTCATCTCCAATTAGTTAGATATCATCATGGATAATTTTATGATTTTCTTACAATTTATCAATTATTGCAGAATCGCTGTGTCATGATATCAACGTTATCTTGGGCCACCTATTGTGTATCCTGAGTATACCCTGACTGTATTACTTAAATGACCAGAATGCATACATATGGAATGATGCTGCTAACCTGATGTCATCCAGTTGATTGATGTGATAGAGCATCCTCTCCATGTCGTCTTCTGATAAATCCAAATCCAGGTCTACTGCAGATTTCTTGATCATGTTCAGGTCGAAGTCACTGGAAGTGCTTTTAAAGACACAGTTATATTTACTCATTGAAACCGACTTCTATTTAGAAATAAATTAAGATTTTCTTTTAAGGAATGACGGTTTACCTTTTCTCCAACAGTCCACAGATCCTCTGGCTGGTCTGGATGTATTTGTCCAGCTGATACGCCAGCACTTCCACATTCTGCAGTTTGGGCTGGAAGAAGACCTTTGCATCTCTTTTAAACTCAATGAGCAGAGGGCAGACCAGCCATGCAGCAGCGATCACCACCTGAACATAATCGAGGCCGACCCCCTCTGGCAGGTGCAACACCACCTGCCTCCCGTCCATGAACACATGAAGTGAGGTGACTGCCAGTTTCTCTACCGCATCCAGGAAACAGTGGAGCGTCTCCAGTTCCATCAGAGTGTCCTTCAGCACAGCAGCCAGCTCTTCCTCCCTGCTCTTTGCGGTCACCTGCCTGATGTTTATGTCCCTCATCATATTTAACTCTGACTCCCTCCCTAGCATCCATTTAGGGGCCCTCTTACAGAATCCTCTCACTGTGTGGATGTGGATGAGGGTGTCTGCAGTGTAGCGCAACAAGGCCTTCTGGAGCTGCTTTCTGTATGAAAATAAAGGGAAACCAATCAACCCAGTGTAGTCTAGTTTTTTTTCCATGCATAACTTTTCTCTGATATCACCGGAAACCTGGGCACGCGCTATTTCAGGGCCTTTGTTTCGGTTTTAATTGCAGTTGCACAATATGTCCACCAGATGTCTACACTCATGCACTTTAACTTGTGTCAATACTGTCCATTTACCACTCTGTTTCTGCACATTCAAATTTAATCTTTCATATTTAATCTTCATATTTAAGACTAGTAATGCTTAGTTAAATCCTGGTTGTTTTTATTCACATTCTTAGTTTGGATATTTTTAGAACTTATTTACTTTGTATTTAATATTATATTATGTTTAGATTTGCAAACATTTTTTACTCATATTGGCCCTCACTTATCAATCTGGTGTAGAAACCAGCGCAGATTTGGGTGTAGAAATCATCGTACGACAGGGTCCACGTGGGACGTATGCGTATCTGGCTGATCACCTGATGCCTAATATAAAATACATTTTAGATATCTTATCTAACAGTTAATCTGTGAACCTCTATCTATCCGTCTTAACAAGCTCTGTTATAGTACGATCTAATTATTCTCCGACACAGACAGTCCACACTGAGTTGAAAATGTGCGTACACAAACTGAGACCTGGTGTGCCGAACTTTGCGTGGAAATGACCGTGGAATACACCCATTTTTCTGCCGTATGTACGTTTGATAAGTGAGGGCCATTGTGTGTTGGATAACCTGCTGCTGTAGCGCCACAATTTCACAGTCTGGGCTCAATAAAGTAATTCTATACTATTCTATTCTATTCAAAGCACATAAGAAAGTCACAGTGACAAAACTGTTCTCGCTGTTAAATGAGTTCAACGTTTCAGAAGACATTATTCATGCTCTAATAAGGCAGCATTTGGGATATTGTAAAGCTATCAGTTGATTAAATCAGAAATAAAACCAACATTATTTACATTAAAAGCTGAAATTTAGGACATGATCTCCCACTGTTTATCGTCCTGAATAATAATCATTATTTATTTTTGATCCCGCGAGGGGAAAGTCGTTTTTACACTCTGTCTAGTGAACATGCTACACAAACATAGGCCGAAATACACACACATGCACAAACAGTCTGACCTACAACATAAATTAGGACCTTTAAGTCAGTGTGAAAAACAAACTCAAAAGGATCACGTACTGTAGGCTAGATGCATGTTGTGCACTGGGGGTTAAAAGAACAATAAAATGTCGCATCATTCTCGTCTGAACAACTTCACAACATTTTAAAAACAAAATTGATTGCGTATTCAACATTTAAAGAAACACACAAAAATCAAACACTTGAAGGCAGCTCGTTGTATCTCAACGTACAGTTTTCTTTTATTCTTGCGATGGCATGTATTTATAATTTCCTATGCAACAGTAGTAACAGATGCAGGGTTCCTTACCTTGACGGGGACATCCTGTTGCCTCTCTTTATGCTGCTGTCTTCTGTAACTTTACTGGGCTCTAAAATGAAAATAGAAACTATAGATCATACTTTTTATTAAAAACGCCCCTGTCGAAAAAAAGGCTTGCATCTATGAAGGTTGATATGTTGCAAAATAGGAGAGCTTGTAGAATGTGATGTGAGAACTTGAAGGCGAAAAAAGGTGAACTCGTATGTAAAAATGTTTACTTGTATAAAAAAATCCACTACTTTTGCTGCAGAAGAAACGATATAATTCGCAAGGGATTGTGGGATAGGTAGTCCCTTGACTCAGGACAAAAATGATGTACACAGTCTTGTATCTTTGCCTTTCTCTTCTTAAAAGTAACTTGAGTCGTTATAGTGTTTATACTGTTAATGCAAGTGTTGCACCGTCTTGCAGTTTGTGGTTGTGGTGAATACATAAAGTGCATCAACTGGAAATTAACTTCTCATTGGCCAATTCCCCCCACACGCAGACACAGCGAGGGGGAAGGGGGGGAGGGCATTTCTACAAGTACAAATTTATTTTGCTACAGACGTCTCACAAAATGTGTTGCAAAACCCAAGCAGCGCAGATTCGCGGATTTTTTTTATCCAAGTAAACATTTTTACATACAAAGTTCACTTTTTTTTCCTTCAAGTTCTCACATCACATTCTACAAGCTCTCCTATTTTGCAACATGTCAACATTCATATGCAGCCGCCTGATTTACTGTCACTGATCCTCCTCTCATAACTTTCTGCAGCTCTTGCACATTTTCACTGAGGGGAATGGTCTGTCCTAAGTTCCCTAATCACACTCCTCTCACCAACAACCCCACTCCAATAATCTCCGTTTTTACCGATGGACCAAACTCAGTCTGGAAATAATGGTTTCGTTTTCTGAGTCTCGAGAAAAGTATAATTCAAATCATGTAAGTGTTAAACGGGCAAACGGAGAAGACTCCCCTCCCGGTCCGTTATCTCCTCACTCACTCTCCCATACGCAAAAAACCTCTTTACTCCTCAACACCGACTGACTTTTAGAATTCTGATCTTAATCTCAAACTTCTTAAATTAAAGTCTGAATTCTGAGGAGAAAAAGTCCAAATAAAAAAATAAAAATGACAAAAAAGTCAACCCCCCCCCACCAAAAAAACAAAACAAATGTCAGTGGCCCTAATCCTCTTTCGTTCGTTTTAATCTAAAGGCTTGTACTTAAATGCTTGACATGTGTTTCTTAATAAATAGAAGTTCATGCCTGTGTATGTATGCATTTCTTTTCTAAACAAAAATGAAATGAAATGTTTTTAATGCGTATTCAACATTTAAAGAAACACACAAAGATCAAACACTTGAAGGCAGCTCGTTGTATCTCAACGTACAGTTTTCTTTTATTCTTGCGATGGCATGTATTTATAATTTCCTATGCAACAGTAGTAACAGATGCAGGGTTCCTTACCTTGAAGCGGACATCCTGTTGCCTCTCTTTATGCTGCTGTCTTCTGTAACTTTACTGGGCTCTCTTCATTTTATCTGCGTGGCTAAAATGAAAATAGAGACTAGAGATCACACTTTATATTGAAAAGCTCCGTAGAAAAAAACTTCACATGACACCCCTGTGTTTGGTTTCGTTTTCATCTCTCCATGTCACGACATGGAGTCACACCCACGTAGGCCTACATTCATAAGTGTCTTTCTTTTGTTGTGTACTGGGATGATCGTAAGTGTACCTGGTACCGTAACAACTCAGATTAAAGATCGATGATGGACTGTGTAGTTATATCTTCACATCTCGACACTCCAGTGAAGAGAGGAGCCAGAGCTGTCAGCAGCTGATTCCCACCTGGAGGCGAGATGGATCAGGTGGTGGGGCAGGCTGCCGGACAGACCTGGTAAACCTAAACGTGTCCTAAATCCACTTTGGTAATCCTTTAAAAGTCCCTTACTCTCTACATTAGATTTGAATCATTCATGTATCATTGTTTTCATAGTTCTTCCCTACACAAGATGTCATACAATTGGTTTATGACTTTCTGCTGAACTTGAATCATTGCCTGGTTTGCATTTGGGGACAATTCATGACTCTTTCCAATGGAGGGTAAACATCCCTCTTCCCATATCTTATTATTTTAAATAAATGTAAATATTTATTTGCCCTTATCACTTGATTTGATTAACAAACAGTCACTGACCTGATGTCTTCCATGGTGATGTTTTTCTATATTTATTCAAAGCTTGATACAGTTCTGTTAAATAAAGTCAACAACATATTGAATCATCATCCCTCTCATCCTGCAAAGCTTCTACATTTCTTTATATTGTTTTCCTCTCTTTCACTCCTTTCCTCATTACTCAAACTTTCGTGACTATGGAATTTAACAAATGTCCTTGCCAATAATTCTGCCTTTTCCTAAATGTATAGGCTATAACTACACTGTAATTGATCTGGATCTTCTCCCATGTTAAGTCTTTCATATCTCCACATCCTCTTCCTCCGCAGTAACAACATTTAATAGTAGGCCGACTGTTAAAAAAAAAAGTCAGTGGTCCTAATCCTCTTTCGTACATTTTGATCTAAAGGCTTGTGCTTAAAAGCTTGACATGTGTTTCTTAATAAATAGAAATAGTGAAGTTGATGCCTACGTATGTATGCATTTCTTTTCTAAACAAAAATTAAATTAAATGTTTTTTAGTTCTATTGTTTTTATTTATTGTTTCATAGTTTTTGTATTATTCTAAAATGTGGAAAATAGTTAGAATAAAGAAAACCCCTTCATTAGTATGTGTTCCCTAGAGACAGCTTACAGTAGTTATATTATCATAATATAGTGTTCTGTATTATTGATAATAATATATTACTATTATGGCCAAACTTTTGACTGGTAGTGTATATATATGAATAAAGGAAGAACAAAATGATGTGGAGTTCTAGGATTCTTTTTTTATTCAAAAATTAGGTTTACAAAAACATGAAATGGTTATATGATCACAGGATATCAATTATGAGTATAACTTCACCTTTAATGAGCCCACACATTTAAGCAATAAGGGCCCATTTATTCAAGTTCCCTTCGGAAAGACAATTCAATTGTATTGATTTCTCCTACAGACAACAACTGTTTCAAATTCAATTTGAAAATGAATCTGGCTCAGCGAAAGGTTAAAAAAAATCCAACATTCACGAGAAGAAAAGTGGCATGGAAAGTTGCTTAATGTCATAATAATTACATACATTTTTAATTTTAACAGTGTTTGATCCTGAACAGTAATCTTTAAGCAAAGTGCAATTATCATTTCTTTGTTGGATCATACATTAAGTTGATATCAAATCTTATTGCTCAAGTTGCTAAAAAAAAAAAAAAAAGGCCAATCATACCTGAAGACTACTGTATTACACAATTTTCCCTTCTTTTTCCATGTTTTCATTCTCTTCATCAGGGGGAATTTCCATTTCCGTTTGTTTTTGTTTCTTCGTCTCCATCTTCAGCAGGATGAAATGGCGTTTCCAGGATAGCTTTGTTTTTCTCTGATTTCTGCAGACCTTCTGTCAGGGAGTCGTAGATTTTCTGCCAGGCGTCGATCTCTGAGCGCCACAGTGCCGCTCTGGCTCTGATGAACTGTGAGGCCTCGGTCTCGCTGCCTTTGGACAGACTGATGCTGTCTTTACAGATGAAGAAGACATCCATGCCGATAAAAAAAGCATTCAGCCCGATGAGACCGGCTCTGGCGGACTTGGTGAGGGCCAGAGGCCCTTTGATTGCTGCCTGTCCGATATCTGGGATGTCTGTGGCCACCTTTGGCACGTTCCCTAAAGCTTGACCACCTTTGACAAGCACCTTGCACACTCCCAAGACTACATTTATCTGACTTGCTTCCATTCTGGCGACAGTTTGATCGCTGACTTTCTTCAGACAATCCTGGAGACTCTGCAAATCCTTCATGAGCCCCTCGAAGACCTCAGCGGCATTATTTCGTTGTGTACTGTTTACTCCTAACTCTGTCGCCGTAGTGACAACGCCATTGACCCCGCTGGTGACACTAAGCCCTATCCCAGTCATGGTAAGAGCCAGAGACACTCCAGCTGTTACAGGAATCAATGCTAAACCAATGATGGAAAGCACGCCTCCAACCGCCCCCACTGAGCTGCCCACCACACTGGAGATCTTTGCCCCCTTATTCATGGAGTCGAGCTGAACAGCAATCTCCTCCAGTCCATCTAGAGACTGCAGCAGGCGAGGTAGACAATCTCTGAACTCGTCGAGGAAGCCAGAGCAGTCATGAAACAAGTACACCAAAGAGAAGTGCTGGTTCATTCTGATGAAGAGAGAAAACAGGAAATGAATAAAAGGATATTTAACAAAATAATTCACAACTGTAACTGAGGTCCTAACTCCTTGAACTCTTTAAAGCTCCTGTGAAGAGTTTTTAGGGCGCGGTCACACTGGCATTCTGTACCGTGCCCAAGCACGCTTCACCTCTAAAGTCCAGTTTGTTTGACCAGTGTGACCGCTCCATGCCGTGCTCAAGCACGGTACACTTACTTGGCCATGGCACGCTTCGGAGAGGTGTGCTTCGTCACGGTACAGTTCATGCACGATCATAAGCAACGTTAACAGCAAAATATCACAACGGCAATATACTGTCAAACTGAAGCGAGGGGTACAGTTATCTAACTGAAGGTGCACAATGTTGATATTAAAATGTTTTAATTAAGTAGCTTTAAATAAAGACGACTTCATTACTCATCATGGTGGTATTTAAGACATAAATAAGGGAAACATGAACAGTTTAGCTGACCAAAGAAGTTGACAGTGGGCTACAAGAGTGTTGAAAAGATGAAGCCTGATATGAGGTTAACGTAACACCAAATGGCAGTGAATAAATACATTAATCCTGCATTTTACCTTTGAAGGCTCATTTTGTCATCTCCAATTAGTTAGATATCATCATGGATAATTTTATGATTTTCTTACAATTTATCAATTATTGCAGAATCGCTGTGTCATGATATCAACGTTATCTTGGGCCACCTATTGTGTATCCTGAGTATACCCTGACTGTATTACTTAAATGACCAGAATGCATACATATGGAATGATGCTGCTAACCTGATGTCATCCAGTTGATTGATGTGATAGAGCATCCTCTCCATGTCGTCTTCTGATAAATCCAAATCCAGGTCTACTGCAGATTTCTTGATCATGTTCAGGTCGAAGTCACTGGAAGTGCTTTTAAAGACACAGTTATATTTACTCACTGAAACCGACTTCTATTTAGAAATAAATAAAGATTTTCTTTTAAGGAATGACGGTTTACCTTTTCTCCAACAGTCCACAGATCCTCTGGGTGGTCTGGATGTATTTGTCCAGCTGATACGCCAGCACTTCCACATTCTGCAGTTTGGGCTGGAAGAAGACCCTTGCATCTCTTTTAAACTCAACGAGCAGAGGGCAGACCAGCCGTGCAGCAGCGATCACACCTGAACATGATCGAGGCCGACCCCCTCTGGCAGGTGCAACACCACCTGCCTCCCCTCCATGAACACATGAAGTGAGGTGACTGCCAGCTTCTCTACCGCATCCAGGAAACAGTGGAGCTTCTCCAGTTCCATCAGAGTGTCCTTCAGCACAGCAGCCAGCTCCTTCTCCAGCTCTTCCAACCTGCTCTTTGCGGTCACCTGTGTCACCTTGCTCTTCATGTACTCAAGAAAGGCTTTTCCTTTTTTCTCTGACTGGCTAACATGGCTGATGTTTAGGTCGATGCCGTCAGCCCTGTCCTTGATGTCCATCATCATATTTAACTCTGACTCCCTCTCTTGCATCCATTCAGGGACCCTCTCACAGAATCCTCTCACCGTGTGGATGTGGATGAGGGTGTCTGCAGTGTAGCGCAACAAGGCCTTCTGGAGCTCCTTTCTGTATGAAAAGGGAAACCAATCAACCCAGTGTAGTCTAGTTTTTTTCCATGCATAACTTTTCTCAGGGCTTTTGTTTTTGTTTGTTTGAAGTTGCACAATATGTCCACCAGATGTCGCCAAAGCGCATAAAAAAATCACAGTGCTAAAACTGTTCTCGCTGTTAAATGAGTTCAACGTTTCAGAAGACATTATTCATGCTCTAATAAGGCAGCATTTGGGATATTGTAAAGCTATCAGTTGATTCAATTAAATCAGAAATAAACCCAAGTTTATTTACATTAAGTTACATAATTATGAAATTAAAAGCTGAAACATGTCTCCACTGTTTGTCGTCCTGAATAGTATATATATATATATATATATATATATATATATATATATATAATAAATTAGGACCTTTAAGTCAGTGTGAAAACAAACTCAAAAGGATCACGTACTGTAGGCTAGATGCATGTTGTGCACTGGGGGTTAAAAGAACAATAAAATGTCGCATCATTCTTGTCTGAACAACTTCACAACATTTTAAAAACAAAATTGATTGCGTATTCAACATTTAAAGAAACACACAAAAATCAAACACTTGAAGGCAGCTCGTTGTATCTCAACGTACAGTTTTCTTTTATTCTTGCGATGGCATGTATTTATAATTTCCTATGCAACAGTAGTAACAGCTGCAGGGTTCCTTACCTTGACGCGGACATCCTGTTGCCTCTCTTTATGCTGCTGTCTTCTGTAACTTTACTGGGCTCTAAAATGAAAATAGAGACTATAGATCATACTTTTTATTGAAAACGCCCCTGTCGAAAAAAAGGCTTGCATCTATGAAGGTTGATATGTTGCAAAATAGGAGAGCTTGTAGAATGTGATGTGAGAACTTGAAGGAGAAAAAAGGTGAACTCGTATGTAAAAATGTTTACTTGTATAATAAATCCACTACTTTTGCTGCAGAAGAAACGATATAATTCGCAAGGGATTGTGGGATAGGTAGTCCCTTGACTCAGGACAAAAATGATGTACACAGTCTTGTATCTTTGCCTTTCTCTTCTTAAAAGTAACTTGAGTCGTTATAATGTTTATACTGTTAATGCAAGTGTTGCACTGTCTTGCAGTTTGTGGTTGTGGTGAATACATAAAGTGCATCAACTGGAAATTAACTTCTCATTGGCCAATTCCCCCCACACGCAGACACAGCGAGGGGAAAGGGGGGGAGGGCATTTCTACAAGTACAAATTTATTTTGCTACAGACGTCTCACAAAATGTGTTGCAAAACTCAAGCAGCGCAGATTCGCGGATTTTTTTTATCCAAGTAAACATTTTTACATACAAAGTTCACTTTTTTTATCCTTCAAGTTCTCACATCACATTCTACAAGCTCTCCTATTTTGCAACATGTCAACATTCATATGCAGCCGCCTGATTTACTGTCACTGATCCTTCTCTCAAAACTTTCTGCAGCTCTTTTCACTGAGGGGAATGGTCTGTCCTAAATTCCCTAATCACACTCCTCTCACCAACAACCCCACTCCAATAATCTCCGTTTTTACCGATGGACCAAACTCAGTCTGGAAATAATGGTTTCGTTTTCTGAGTCTCGAGAAAAGTATAATTCAAATCATGTAAGTGTTAAACGGGCAAACGGAGAAGACTCCCCTCCCGGTCCGTTATCTCCTCACTCACTCTCCCATACGCAAAAAAACCTCTTTACTCCTCAACACCGACTGACTTTTAGAATTCTGATCTTAATCTCAAACTTCTTAAATTAAAGTCTGAATTCTGAGGAGAAAAAGTCCAAATGAAAAAACAAATGTCAGTGGCCCTAATCCTCTTTCGTTCGTTTTGATTTAAATGCTTGTACTTAAATGCTTGACATGTGTTTCTTAATAAATAAAAGTTCATGCCTGTGTATGTATGCATTTCTTTTCTAAACAAAAATGAAATGAAATGTTTTTAATGCATATTCAACATTTAAAGAAACACACAAAAATCAAACACTTGAAGGCAGCTCGTTGTATCTCAACGTACAGTTTTCTTTTATTCTTGCGATGGCATGTATTTATAATTTCCTATGCAACAGTAGTAACAGCTGCAGGGTTCCTTACCTTGACGCGGAAGTCCTGTTGCCTCTCTTTATGCTGCTGTCTTCTGTAACTTTACTGGGCTCTAAAATAAAAATAGAGACTATAGATCATACTTTTTATTAAAAACGCCCCTGTCGAAAAAAAGGCTTGCATCTATGAAGGTTGATATGTTGCAAAATAGGAGAGCTTGTAGAATGTGATGTGAGAACTTGAAGGAGAAAAAAGGTGAACTCGTATGTAAAAATGTTTACCTGTATAAAAAAATCCACTACTTTTGCTGCAGAAGAAACGATGTAATTCGCAAGGGATTGTGGGATAGGTAGTCCCTTGACTCAGGACAAAAATGATGTACACAGTCTTGTATCTTTGCCTTTCTCTTCTTAAAAGTAACTTGAGTCGTTATAGTGTTTATACTGTTAATGCAAGTGTTGCACTGTCTTGCAGTTTGTGGTTGTGGTGAATACATAAAGTGCATCAACTGGAAATTAACTTCTCATTGGCCAATTCCCCCCACACGCAGACACAGCGAGGGGGAAGGGGGGGAGGGCATTTCTACAAGTACAAATTTATTTTGCTACAGACGTCTCACAAAATGTGTTGCAAAACTCAAGCAGCGCAGATTCGCGGATTTTTTTATCCAAGTAAACATTTTACATACAAAGTTCACTTTTTTTTCCTTCAAGTTCTCACATCACATTCTACAAGCTCTCCTATTTTGCAACATATCAACATTCATATGCAGCCGCCTGATTTACTGTCACTGGTCCTTCTCTCAAAACTTTCTGCAGCTCTTGCACATTTTCACTGAGGGGAATGGTCTGTCCTAAATTCCCTAATCACACTCCTCTCACCAACAACCCCACTCCAATAATCTCCGTTTTTACCGATGGACCAAACTCAGTCTGGAAATAATGGTTTCGTTTTCTGAGTCTCGAGAAAAGTATAATTCAAATCATGTAAGTGTTAAACGGGCAAACGGAGAAGACTCCCCTCCCGGTCCGTTATCTCCTCACTCACTCTCCCATACGCAAAAAACCTCTTTACTCCTCAACACGACTGACTTTTAGAATTCTGATCTTAATCTCAAACTTCTTAAATTAAAGTCTGAATTCTGAGGAGAAAAAGTCCAAATAAAAAAATAAAAATGACAAAAAAGTCAACCACCCCCCACCAAAAAAAAAACAAATGTCAGTGGCCCTAATCCTCTTTCGTTCGTTTTGATCTAAAGGCTTGTACTTAAATGCTTGACATGTGTTTCTTAATAAATAGAAGTTCATGCCTGTGTATGTATGCATTTTTTTCTAAACAAAAATGAAATGAAATGTTTTTAATGCGTATTCAACATTTAAAGAAACACACAAAAATCAAACACTTGAAGCAGCTCGTTGTATCTCAACGCAGTTTTCTTTTATTCTTGCGATGGCATGTATTTATAATTTCCTATGCAACAGTAGTAACAGATGCAGGGTTCCTCCTTGAACATCCTGTTGCCTCTATTTATGCTGCTGTCTTCTGTAACTTTACTGGTCTCTTCATTTTATCTGCGTGGCTAAAATGAAAATGAGACTAGAGATCACACTTTAT